TGATTCACACAATGAAACACTTGTCGACGAAAATAGACATAAAAGTGAAGAAAATATGATTAAATCGATTCAATTGTTTCATGTTTTCGACGATAAGAGAGGATATAATATATTGTTTGTTACAAATCGTGGTTTGGTTTACGGTTTGGGATCTAATTATTGGGGATCTCTTGGTTTGGGACACAACCACTATTTCCGTGAAATCCAAGAGATTGAGAGATTGCGCCACAAGAATATCACACAATTCTTCAATGGAGCGGACTTTGTGTTAGCCCTCATACAACACAACTGCCTCTATGGTTGGGGTCGTAATGATTGTGGACAGTTAGGTTTGGAACTCCCGAATATGGATTTCCCATTTATAAAACCAGAACTTATTAATCCCGAAAACATGGAAAATAAGTCAATCTATCAAATAAGTTGTGGTTTTTGTCACACAATGATTCTCACGAGTGATCGTTGTGTCTATGGTTGGGGTCATAATAGATACGGACAGTTAGGTTGTGGACCAGACAGTGATATACAAAACGTAACCATATTTAGAGTGAATTTCAGTCCTAATCACGAAATTCAAAGCATTTATTGTTGTGCTTATTCTTCATATGCCATCACATCGGAGGGACAGGTGTATAGTTGGGGTCAAAATGATTATTATAATTTGGGACACAATTCATCGGGTAATATATGGAAACCACAACTCATTGAAGACATGACTGTTATTAAGACTATCTGTTCCAATGGTTACATCACATTCTTCTTATCTATCGATGGATTCATTTATTTTTGCGGTGCATATAGGAATGAAAACAACAAATATTTGTATCAAATATTACCAAAAGTATTAAATACTGATAAGAGGTTTACAAAAATGAATACATTTTTCTCACATAAAGATAACCTGTGTCTGTTATATGCTATAATGAATGGCAAAATATATAAAATTACAGACAAACAAAACGATAATATAATTAAAACAAATTATACAAATATCTTCGACTGTTTCTCAAATGAATTTCTAATGACTTATAAAACCATTGATTTGTGTTATTATAAGGAATATAATTATAAGAATTGCGAAGAATTTATTGCAAAATGTTTGGATTATTTGGAAAAAGTATTCTCTTCTATAAAAGACTTATCAAACAATGGTATGAATTGGTTGTATGGGTCATTCACAAAGTACGTACAGTCAGCCAGTAATTAACATTCACGATTAACACATTTACTTGAACAAAAATATGCAAATCTCATTGAAATTAGTTACGAAATTAATAAAGTTAACTTGTACATTTTACAATATTCTCTTTTCAAACGCTAATTGCAGTTAGAATTTAAATCTAAAGAAATTATCAGCAATTAAGCAAATTTCTAAACAAATTATCTTAATTATATTTATGCAAAAATAAATAATATACCGTATAATTAATTACTCTTTAGTAAGCTTACAACACCCTCCCCTCCCCTTTGAGTACGTACTTTTGGATGACTCTTAGAAAAATTAATGAATGAATTTATTTAATTTGTTTTATAGATTCCGAAGTGAATAATTACAAGCGTTTGTATGAAGAGTTGTATTTATTAGGTTCGGGAGGTTTTGGGAAAGTATTTGTTGCTAAAGATAAAAATGATGGACAAGAATATGCGGTTAAGAAAATAGAGTGCACAGGTAATTTAATGACATTTAGATATATTTTGTATAACCACATTAAAATATATTATGCTGCATTTGTAAATCATCAAATTTTGTCATGTTTTGTAAAATTTGGAATTATTTATAATTATCAAAATTAATATACTTACAGGTGCTGACCAATTACGGGAATGTATGCAAGAAATGCTAAAATTGATAAAAGTTAGGTCAGAATATTGTGTCCAATATTTCAATCAATGGAATGAAGAGAAAGTATATTATATTCAAATGGAATTGTGTTCCGATAGTCTGCAGAATATTCTTTTAAACAAACCACAAGTATTTGGTCGACAACCGGGAGAACCCATGAATTTAATCGAGTTTTACATTTCGTGTCATATATTCAAAGAGATCTTAGAATGCGTTCAATATTTACATGAATTGAATCCT